AGCGGAGCAACAAGCTGCTGGCGGAGATAGAGAAGTTCTCCACCTCCCTCGGGTGCCGGCGGCGGGCCATCCTGGCCTACTTTGGCGAGGACATGGGTAAGAGTGGGAGTGAGAGTGAGAGTGAGAGTGAGAGTGAGGGGCATGGGTTAGAGTGGGAGTGAGAGTGGGAGGACATTGATAAGAATGGGAGTGAAAGTGAGAGGACATGGGTTAAGAGTGAGAGTGAGAGGACATGGGTTTGAGTGGTTGTGAGAGTGAGAGTACATGGGTAAGAGTGAGAAGGACATTGTTGAGTACGAGTGAGAGTGAGGAGTGAAGCCAGAGTACGAGATAGAGGGAGGGGCGCGAAAGGGCGCCTGGAAGGCCGCGGCCGCCGCCGGTTTGCAGATGAAAGCGTTGAGGGCATTGGGCAATAGTGAGAATGAGAGTGAAGTGGCCGAGAGGCGTGAGAGACTGTGTGAAAGGCTGCGGCCGCCCGCCGGTTCGCAGATGAAGCCATTGAGGACATGCCTAAGAGTCAGAGTCAGAGTCAGAGTGAGATTCAGAAAGAGGCGAAAAAGGATGCATGAACGACCGCCGCCGCCGCCGCCGCCGCCGCCAGTTATTAGCAGATGAACCCGTTGAGGACATGGGTGAGTATGAGAGTGAGAGTGAAAGCGGGAGCGGCCGGCCAAGAGGCTGAGGCCGCCGCCGGTTTTGCAGATGAAACCGCTGAGGGCATGGTTAAGAGCGAGAGTGAGAGTGAGTCAGAGTCAGAGTCAGAGGGAGGCGCGAGAGGCCGCCCGAAACACCGCGGCCACCGCCAGTTTTGCAGACGAAACCTTTGCTCGTTTCCAACCCCTCTGTGTTCTGAAATATCGCCGCGTCTTTCGAAGTCATTTTGTTGAGATTTCGCCGTTTTCGGGAATGTTTTTCGTTATTTTTTGAGGTGACCTTGCTCGCTCCTGTGGTGAGCTGATTTCTTCGTCTTGTTCCTCTCTTTTGAGACGCCGTTTGCTGCAGCGTGTTGGTAATCGAGTTGCCGGGGTTACCCTTCGATAATTGGCTGCTTGTCGCCCAGGCAGTGTTTTGAGATGTCTTCCTGAATTTAGTATGTTTTTTCCGTACATGGTGGTCCCGTGGTGTACAACCAGAGGTATGCCGTTTCGTTTTGTCACCGCCTGTAGTACGAAATCCTGACGCCCTTCTAGGTACCGTTTCGGATGACGACGTCATTTTCTGACGTCATCCAATACGGAATCTCATGTCCATGGCTGCGTGTTGTACCGTTCCCGCCATTTGTGAGGTCACCTTGGACATGTCGTGATGTATAAGGAGGGGGGCTGTGCAGAGCACTCGATTGGGGATTTTGGGCATGTCATTGAGTTTGCAGCAAGGTTTGTAAGGGAAAGCTGGCTAAGTAGGCCTTTCGGAATGAGGGCGGGGTGCAATGATGCACTGGCAATACAAGTGAGAGACTGGTTCGAGGACAAGGTACATGGGTGTCTAAGGAGCTGTTGGCCGGTAGTGCTCTAACTCCGAAGCAGCAGGAAGAAGCCATTCCGTGTACCCAGCGAGCAAGCCGGGAATTGAGCATCAGACAGCAGCAGTGCAGTGCAGCAGTATGTAAGTGCTCGCCGACGCCACCGTGTTTCCAGATCAATGGCTCTCCTCTGACGCCAAACGACTATCTTTTCTTCTTGAGCGAAGGAAGTTACCGTTCGCACGACCGTCACCATTGTTGAGGCCGAGCTTAGCACCGAACCCACCAACCCGTCGTGTGTGCACCATGTGGCAGGGGATTCGAAGTGCGACGGCTGCGACGTTTGTGACCGTACCGCTGCGGCTGCGGCAGCATCCGCTAATGGCGCTACCGCGACCAACGAGGTGGGTGGTTGCTTCCCTGTGGCAGGGCTAACATTGTCGGCATTTTTTGTTTCGTTTTGGACGCAGCCACCCGTAGGCTATACAGCAGAAGTACAGCAGTGGGGGCCCCGCAGTGTGCTGGTACGTGCCCGCCAAACACACTGATATGCGGGGTGACCAAAGTGCCACTATTCAGAATCGTCCCAAACACTAAAAAAATGTATTTGGTGTGTGCCATATTCCTGGGGGCTGGCTCTTGCTATTCCCTGAGATTTTTCCGCGTGCACCTCTGCAGTGTACACACCAAGTGCTCGTGTTAGCCTATCGGCGTATGTACTTCTTTGCTGCGGCGTGAGTGTCTCTTTCGAGAGGGCGGGGCGGCACGGCTGCGGCCCTTCGAAAGCCAGTCGGAACTGCTGCCGCTCTTGCGTATTTCTGCGGTAAACTGACTGCATTCGCTCAACGTGCCTGTGGTACGATGCATAGAGCAGTGCAACAACGCCCATGTACAATTGTTGGCATGACCCAAGCGTTTTTGTCGCGCGACGACGTCTTGGCCTTCGCCGCCGCTTCCCACAGGACGTCGAGCTGTTCACCGGCCCGGCCAGGCTGGTGCTGCAGGCAGTTCACGACTCCGGAGGGCGGTACGGGATAACGGGTGAGGGGAGGGCAGCAAGAGGAGGAGGGCGGGGAGGGCCTCTCGTTATCGTGTTTCGCACCGGATGGGACACGCTTTGTGATGGGAGTGACTGGGATGGGATAGTAAGCCAAATGTGATGGGAGTGTGGATGGGGATGGACTGCTGTGCCGATTACGTCGCTGGACCAGGCCTGTTTGTCGTCTTCGCCGCCGGACAAATTACTGTGCCGACCTACATATTGTAGTATTCCTGTGATACCTGCATTTTGCCTACTCTTACGCATACTACTGTGCTATTTTGTCCACTGTGCTTGCCTAGTGGTGTGACGTGTTTGGCGGCGTCACCGTTGGCTGCAACTTTTACGCGATAGAAGGTGGTGTGACGACATACGCATCCACGTACGAATAGTTGGCGTAGCTTGTAGGGCACCCGCGACTTCACCGTCTCCCTCAACAAACGTACTTTTGTCAACTCCCGCGTTTGTTGGGTTGCTACTCGTTTGGTGAAGGTGCGAGAATGCCATCCAAGTTGCCCGCAGGCACATGATGCATACATACACACACACACACGACCCGTTTTCTTTTTTTTTATTTGTCTTCAGTGCCGATCGGTCTGCTGATGGGGACCAAGAGGGGAACGGACCGGGTGCACAACGCCGCCATGAAGCCGTCTTTCGGCAAGGGGAAAGAGAGAGGCAAGACGGAGACGTTCTGGAAGGCCTTGTTCCACCAACTCGTCGAGAGACAGGGGTGAGTAGTGCGATCGCGCGCCTCAGGTGTGTGAACGAACGGCGCCTTGCTCATCTTGGTCAGATTGAGTCGGGCAAGTGGCGTCATCGTGTCGTCAGTTTATTGGGCGGCGCCGTCAAACGTGGTCGTCGAAGCGATGACAGGGTCCGCGGCATCGTACATGGGTTATGTCCCCCTGAGCCCGTGGTTCTCTTTGGAAGAAGTCAGATGACTTTTTCGAGTGTTTTGTGTTGTGAGTGTTTGAAGTCCCGCCGCATCGTATCAAACCATTTTGATCTTTTAACTTTTAAGTGGTGATGGTCGTGCCCCCCCCCCACCCTTTCCGTATGATGATGTTGGTGTTGTAATTTCTGCTTTTTGCTGTTCGTGTGGTGCTCTCGCTGCCCAAGTTGGCGTGGTCGTAGATAGTAGTCCCGGTGCTGTTGCTTCCCCGTCCCTCCCGCGTATCGATTTTGTTGCTGTACTTTACATACCAGGTACTGCTGTTTGTGTGCCATATCGTTCTCGCGGCTGAAGTTGGTATGGTTGTTGATAAATTCTGGTGCTGGTGCTGGTGCTGGTGCTGGTGCTGGTGCTGTCGCAGGTTCCTTGAAGCGGTGTCGTTCTCGAGCGACAACGGCGGGCGGAGCGGGACGACCTACCGCTTGACCCGCCAGGGGAGGAGCTTCCTCCAGGCCACCAAGGTTTGTTCGTTCTGCCATCGCGGTTTTCGGTGTGCGTTTACACGAGTGCCACCCACCACCACCATCATTGTCAATGGTCTAACAGCTAAGGCATGCAAAACATGAATACGCCCCTTCCTGCCCTCTCTCTATTTATCTGTATAGGAGAAACCCCCCCATGTCTTTCACGCCTTACGATGAACTGGCGACGGAAGGGAGGCGTTTACGTGACAACATCCCTCCCCCACCCCCACCCCCACCCCCACCGCAACCATCGTTGTCAATGGTCATGCAAAACATGAGCACGCCCCCGCCCCCCACTCTCTCTATTTATCTATATAGGAGAAGCTCCCCATGTCTTTCACGCCTTCCGATGAACTGGCGACGGAAGGGAGGCGTTTTAGGACGGCCGCTGCGCGTCCCGCGGACGGCTACCCGCAGACCAACGCCGCGCGCAACGGGCTCTCCGAGGAGGAGCAGAAAGTGCACGCGCTCCTGGTACGTGCGATTTGTTTTTGGAAATATTGGCATACGAAACAATACAAAAAAGAGTGTACACCTGTTCGCCATGTACCCACAGTAGTCGAAGGGGATGTGCTCAAGTCTCCTCAGTGAGGGGAGTTGTGGGGCACGCACGCACTGCTTAGGGTAAGTACGCTACCCCCCTCACCTAGATATTTTGGTACTCGGGAGCGCTTGTATACAGATGTCGCCCATCGCACTGAGGACCTTGGCAGCTAAGAACTTGGCGCTCGACATCTTTAGCGAACCACGAACTTGAGCACCACACGTGAGCTCGATTGAGAACCTCTACCCTAAAACCCACATGCAAAAAAGGCACTAAGAACCCTAGCGTTGGACAATACTAGAGGTCCTAAAGTGCGGGCGCTGTCTGTATATGTGTCATCGCAGAACTCCCTGACCATATTAGCCTACCCTGACGATTTTGGTGCTCAGGCGCTCGTACAGCAGTATGTATATACGATCGCAGCGCTTTCCCTTAGGCTCACGTGTTTATGTTCTTCCCGTACACATCCCGCGGCCGTTGTTTGTCCACCCGCGTTTTTTTGTTCTTCTTTACCGCATGGTCATGGTGTGCACCCATCCCCCCCCCCCCCCACGCACACACACACGCCCGGATGCCGACCGCGGTGTACCGTGAAACAGCTAAATCTCAGGAAGGAGATAGCGGATCGCACGGGCGAGATGCCGTACAACGTCATGGGGGGCGCCGTGGTGAAGGAGCTGTCGAAGAGGAGGCCGGTCGACCTCACCACGCTCACGTCGGTGGGCGGCATGGGGGAGACGAAGATTAACAAGTACGGGGCTGAGATAATCGAGGTGAGGAGGGCGGGGGGGGGGGGGGGTGTACTCATAGTCGTGCATGCCGTAGTCGTTAGACCATCGACCTCGCATCCCTACAAAGCCGGGACGGAGCACGCCGGGTTCTCACCGGACCAGGCTCTCACATCACCAAGCGCGAAGCGCCGTGAGGTATTCGGCGAGTCGCATGAAGGGTGCGCTGCATCCTGCTAAGGGTGTTCGGCATCTTGGCTTACTTCCTTGGATGACAGCTGCGTATGACTTAATTTGCTTTCTGGTGCTTTCACTTCCAGAGACAGTTGGAAGCACTGTGTAACTGCCTCGAGGGTGCTTGACGAATTTAACACAACGATCCTCCCCCTTGCGCGGAGTGAGGGTTCTCAACCCCGCACAACATTGATCTACTCGACCACCATTCATGGGGGGGGGGGGGGGCGTACTCTTATGTTTTGCATGCCTTAGCGGTTAGACCATTGACCACGCGTCCTCGAGAGGACGGAGCATTGTTCCCACAGGACCGATCACCGATGGCCAATCGTTCCTTCCTACTTTGCCAAAGGTGGCTCAAAAATGTCTTCCCTAGTCTGTCATTCCTAACGATATCCCTTCCCGCCTTTTCAAACCACTTCCTACTCCCCAGCACAGCTACCGTCCTCTTCTCTCTATTCCATGCCTCAAACATCTCCCTGTACGTCCGCTTGTATTTTTCCCAGCTCAGTCATGTACACTTCCCTCTCCTCTTCGTACCACGGACATTCCGCGACTACATGAACACGGTCTTCGCATTCGAAGCCGCAATCGCATTTGAACTTGTCGTGTTCGTCGTCTACCGTCCTGTGTCTTCGTCGACGTTCTCGAAGGCCTGTGTCCCCGGTCCTGAATTTGACCTTAAGCTTTGTCCCTGCATCCATTGGTCCATGTAGGTAATCCTTGAACCCTATTCCTTCTTTCAACATTCCGTACACTTCTAGACCCTCCTTATCCTTGGTTTCTTTCTTTAGATTCTGTTCTTCTGTCTCGGCACAGGCAGCAGATATCTTCTCCTTGAACCCCTGTAGACCCTCCGTTTCCAGCGTTTCATCTTCGTCGATGTCTAACCCCTTCCATACGTCCTCTACAACCGTGACCCATTCCGTGGGTTGTCTTCCCCTCTTTTTGTTTGCCCACTTTGCCTCCCATACTATTCTCGGCAACCTCTCCTCTCCCATCCCGCACATGCGATACTGCCATGTCAGCTTCCTTGCGTCTCTTCCCGTACCGTAGGGATTGGATCCCCAATTCTGCCCCTTACGGCTGCATTACTTGTGCGCTTGGAGCATCCTAATGGTGGGGGGGGGGCATTTCGACGGAGGTGTACCGCTTCTTGCCAGTACCGTAGTCGTTGGTGTGTCCGCTCTGTGCACATACGGCACGCCTTTCGGCATGGAAGACCACGGCCCCTCTTAGAGCAGACGCCGGCCTATGATTGGGTGATGTTTCAACGTTCGTGTTTCCCCATGGCGATGTGCCCCTTGTCTGGGTCACGTCGGCCGCCCTTTCGTGTGCGCCGCCGATTTGTTTTTCCCGGTTTCTTTTTTTTTTCTTCATGTCGATACATTCCATGATTGGGTCACGACGGCCGCCCTTTCGTGTTCGCCTCCGTTCCCGAGGGGGTGGGGGTGGGATCCTGCCTAGCTAGCGGTATTCACGGGAAGGGTTGATGCGCCCGTTCAACCAACACTCCCCGTTCTGCACCCATTCCTTGCGTTTTGCCGGGCGTGGACTCAACCTCCCTCGGTTAATGAACTCCGCAGGTGCTGAAGGCGGCGTGCGCTGACCTGAAGCTGGAGAGCAACGTGGCCGCGGCGCCCGCGCAGGAGGCTCCGTGGCTGACAACATCGTGAGCTTCGTTTTAGCCCCCCCCCTGCCTCCCCTCCCCGGTGTTTGCCATCGGGGTTTGGGTTTTCGTCGCTTGGCAACGACGTTGTAAAACAAGCCGCCCCCCCCGGTGTTTGCCATCGGGGTTTGGGTTTTCGTCGCTTGGCAACGACGTTGTAAAACAAGCCCCCCACTCGGTGTTTGCCATCGGGATTGGGTTTTCGTCGCTTGGCAACGACGTTGTAAAACAAGCCAATTCACTTCGTGAACTCGGCAACCAGGTTACCGTTTTTTTTTTTTACCTCGTTTTTTTTTTTTGCGGTAACCATAATGGTGGTCGAGTAGATCATGTTGTGCGGGGTCGAGAAACCTCACTCCGCGCAACGGGGGATGATCGCACCACGTTGTGTTAAAATGGTCAAGCTTCCTCGAGGCAGTTACACAGTGCTTACAACTGTCTCTGGAAGTGAAAGCACCAGAAAATAAATTAAGTCATACGTAGCTGTCATCCGTACGCAAGGAAGTAAGCACAAGATGCCGAACACCCTTAGCAGGATGCAGCTCACCCTTCATGCGACTCGCCAAATACCTCACGGCGCTTCGCGCTTGGTGATGTGAGAGCCTGGTCCGGTGAGAACCCGGCGTGCTCCGTCCCGGCTTTGTAGGGATGCGAGGTCAATGGTCAAACGACTACGGCATGCACGACTATGAGTACACCCCCCCCCCCCCCCCCTGCCTGTACTGTGTGTACCCCGTTTTTTTTTTCGCGCTGAATTGTTTTACGCGAAAACTTAAACTTCGCGAGCTTCGTTGCAGTTGTGTGTAAGGTGTGCTGGCTTTGACATGACAGCATCGTGAGTTTCGTTCGAGTTTAGTGCACGTTGTTTATTCCATGCTGGCTCCGACGCGTCGGCGAAGGCGGCCGCGAGGCGGCGCTCGCACGAAGTAGGCCGCCAGTCCTTGGACTTGAGACAAAAGAGGAGTATCAATAGGGAGGAAGGGAACTTTTCTTTTTTCTTTGCTTGACGATTTCGCGTGACAACCAACCCATCAGCATGCTTGGACCCGGCTTCGGCGGGAGACAGGGATGGGCGGGGGCGCTCGTCCTGCTAGACGCGAGGCCCTCCCTACCTCTGGAAACCCAGTTACTGCCGCTTGCGTCGACGTCTTGATTTTTGTTTTGCAATCCACGGAACCCCCGAACCCCTTTCCGCTGTCGGTACACGCGCTCTCCATTATGGCAGGCGAGAAGACAGGCCGTTGACTTCGGTGCAGCAGCTTGCCCACGAGGCTTACATGAGACAAGGTCTGCACTTGATTTTCCGAAACCGCTGCTCCTGACCGTTTGGTTTTTCTAGAAAATGTGCAGCAGTATCTTATGATATACCTCTTTTCGTTTTCATGTCGCACCCCAACAAAGCATCCACGTGACAGGGCCAGCACAAAATTTTCGACCTTTTCGATTTGCTGTTTTTGTGTCTTGTTGTATATTTGGTACACACAGGCGTAGGTTCAACCAGGCCGGCCGTGACTTCCAACCGAATTCACTTTTCCGCGGCTGGTTGGAAGCAATGTGCGGTTTCCTTGAACCCCTTCGTAATTCGTCGGATTCAAAGGCACGCTTTAGACCTAGACGTGGTGGTGGCGTATGCATATGTCACACCAATTGTTGTGCTAGCCGTCTCATTGTTCCCGGGGCCTCCGTGAACGCTGTTCATACCGCGGTAGTTTCAATTCCAGGCAAGACCGGCCCACTCATCTCTTTCGCTAGGGATTACCCATCCCGCGTGGATCAAGCTCTATCTGCAGTTTCGTTTCCGTCAGCCACTTTTCCGACTCAACAATTTTACCTTTTCGACTCGACTTAATTAACAAGTATTCACGACCACAAGACCTGTCAAGTGTGTTGCTCTCTCGGATATCGTTTCCGAACCTCACGCAATGCCTCCGAAAACAGTTGTGGTCGCTCGCTATCGTGGTTTCAGGCTCCCTGACGCTGGAGCCCCACCTGTGTTCTACGGCAGGCCATGGGTTCATTTCCATCAGCCACCTTTCCACATGTCCAGCGTGTTGCTCTCCCAGAAATAAATCGCTTCCGAACCTCACGCAATGCCTAAATAAACGTGTTCGGTCGCTCTCTCTCTCTCTCTCTCTCTCTCTCTCTCTCTCTCTCTCTCTCTCTCTCTCTCTCTTTCTCTCTCTCTCTCTGGTGGTTTCAGACTCCCTGACGCTGGAGCAGGTGGCCGCCAGGATGCCGCGACCGGTGGCTATTGGGACGTTCGCGGGCCACCTCGCGGCGTGCTTGGAGGCAGGCTTGACTTTCGCGTGGGACCGCCGGCGCCTCGGCATCGACCTTGACCTGGAGCGCAAGGTGCACGGGCCAGAACGATGGATGGCACGGGTCGCGAAAACTACTGCTAGTGTATTTATTTGCCCGTTCCTACTGCCGTTTGTTTTGGCCAGTTTTGGTGTTATTCGCAATCGGTGCCGCCCCGGGGGAGTTGGGTGTCAAGTCAAGTGGACGTCTGTGCAGTGTTAGTGTTGGTGGTAGGTGTCTGGTGGATGCGCATGCGGGTGCAGACGTCTTTGCGCGTTGAGTCTTAGCATTGGATAGGTTGCTAACGTACGTTATGTGGACAGCCCCCTGGGCTGGGCATTTGTACCTGTTGGCGTGCGAGCACGGGCTAGAGTTGTGGCGGTGAGCTACTTTTGAGATGCAATTCCAAGAACAGCAACGGTAGCGACTGCGATTACAACAATTTTCCGTCACCACATCCGCCACCATCGGCGGAAACAACGACGTACGCGAACAACTCTGAGGTACCATGCTGTATGCGCAAGCTGCACAACGTGTATCGCAATGTGCCTCTCGTTGCTGCCTGTGATTGAAACGTCTCTTAGATCCTGGACATCTTGGACGGCTTCAAGCAAGAAGGGCACGACCCGCTGGCCTCAGGCTTTCGGCTTAAACCAATCTTCGAGAGGCTGCCTCCAGGCACAGAGAGCAAGACCGCCTATAGCATGATCAGGTTAGCGCCCTGCTGTGGTACCTACTTCAAGCGTTTGTGTGCTTCGTTGGAGGGAGTCGAGCGGCTGCGCAAGCGTGAGCGTCGTGACTGCCTACCTATGGGAAAAGGGTTTGTGGGCTCAACCGTGCAACACTAATAAATAGTTTTAGCGCTTGTTTTTTTTGTTGGAACGGCACCCGCTGGTTTGATCGAGAACGCAAGAGTATGTCGCATCCTTCGTCCCTGTACTGACAGATATGTGGGTTCCGGCAAAACGTGTCGCCTGACTTTTCCGGTGTCTATCTTGAGTTTATCAGCTCCATCTAGGCACGAAAAAAAGAAATGAAGTGCCTGCTGTTACCGGCCAGACCTTTGAATGAATTCATCTCCATCGGGCGGTTGGCATGGCGCGGAACGATGGCAAACTCCCGCAGACTGATGACGCGCCGCAAGCTGTCAACACACAAACACCACTTCTCGCGGGAAATACATCTTTGTTTTACCTCGCTAGCATGGGGGGCAGAACCTTCTCGTTTCATCTCAGTGGTCTTACCTCCGTTGGTGTCATCGGCCACTGCTGTTGCTGTTGGAATGTTGACCGCCCGCCCAGACTGGTGCTGTCGAGGCTGCGGTTCGAAAGCGGGGGAGGGCGGCTCCCGGGGTCGGGGGGCGAGGTGCTCCGCCCTCAAGCGAACGCCGTGGCCACCGGCCCGCCGTCCTCTGGCGGGAAGAAGCGAGCGCTGCCTTCATGGGCAGGAGGCGCGGCCGGCGGCAGCGGCGCGCCCCCTCCTGCCAAGCGGGTATCCCCGCCTAAGTCGGCCTCGGTTTGGTCCCCAGCCTCGAGCAACAGCGGCGGCGACAGCAGAGGCGGCGGCGGCGGCGGCGGCGGCGGCCGTAGCGGTAGCGGTAGCGGTAGTGGCCTCTTCACACCGTCCTACGCGACGACGCCGTCGCCCCAAGCCTCGTCCGCCTCCTCCTCGAGGAAGCTAACCTCGTCGGCCGCTTCCACGAAGATTTTCACGCCTCCTTCTTCTTCGCACGGGCCGTCACCGCGATCGACGGCATCGTCTTCAGCGGCGGCGGGGGCGGCGGCGGCGGCGGTGTCGCCCCCGACTGCCGCGGCGAGACTCTTCACGCCATCATACGCGCCGTCCGCTTCTGTGGCGGGGAAGGCGCGGCGGCAGCCGGGCGATGCTGCCGCGGCCGGTGTCGGCGATCAACCGGAGCCGTGGACGCCGGAGGTTGTGCTGAGGCTGATCAAGGAAGCCGGCCCATCAGGAGCGAGCTGCAAGGTATTACACGCCCCCCGTCGTTTTTTTGTCGCTTCCTGGTTCTCGTTGACGTCTTCAGATGTTTCTTCCTGCTTGGAAGGGTAGGAATCTTGCTGTGTAGGTAACGGGGCAGTGCGGTTGGCTGTCTTTTCGGCTCATTGCCCGTTTTCCAGCTGGCGCCGCCTACTCGAGAAACCGGCGGTTCACAAACGAAAAGCTACTACAAGTAGCAGGGGTGTTTCGGATACTTTGTCGAGCTTGAGAACGAGACCGGATGCCCCCGGTCGAGAGGTTCACACTCCAAACTATTATGTGCGTAGTGCCGTGTCTTGTCGAGTGCCCTTTGACGGATCATGCAACAGGGCGATGAGAGCGCAAGCTTCGCATGCACCGTGCGGCTATCATGCGGGGGGGCGAAATCATTTCGAACGGGCGGCAGTGATTTTCGATCGATGCGCTCACTCCAGCCGTCTCGGAAGGTGCTCCCAATAAGTGATGGCACGTGCACGTTTTCTCTCTTCTTGGCCCTTATGCAGAGCGCTTCAAGGCTTGTCTAGTAGGGAATCGGATTGAACGGCCTGGCAATAAAGAGCGAGCGCTATACGATTACGCATGTACCTTTCGGACGATCCCGTTTTTTCGTCTGTACCGTCATTCCGACTTGTTGCTTGTGCACACGGACGCAGGCGATGGTTTCGGCGAACCCTGGAGGAAGTGAAAAGGCGCTGAGGACGTTGCTGGACGGCATGCAGGAGGACTTTGTGCTTTTCACGAAGCCGGCAGGAGCGAGTGGCGGAGCACCGACCTTTCTGGCTCTGTAGCCTCAAGTGCAGGAGAGAGCGAACGTACGCTCATCATCCTGAGATTTATTCGAACTATGCATGTGCGCATGCGTACATTTTCGGAGTCATGGGAAATGACCATCAGATCATCGATGTTTCGCACTGGTACTGAGTTTTATAGGAAAGGAATAGGGGGCACCCACCCCGTACTGGGAGCAGAACCCCCCCCCCCCTTCTTGCTGCCGGCTTTTCCACATGTTGGACATTTCGTATACCCTGAATGCCCGCACCTTGAACCACGAACAAGGGCCATGCCCTGCTGCGCGTGCTCAGGAATAGTTGGTATTCGTCTTGGGTGACCCCGGGTTGGTGCGTCAAAGTTGTGCCAAAAGGAAATGAATGGCGCCCAGAAAAGATAGACAGAACAAGTCAAGCTATGATATCGAGCGATTGATTGTGGTAATATGTTATTGTTTATGTCTTTGTGTGGGGACCACTGCCTTAGTTTTATGTCTTCCTTACGTTGTGTCGATTTTTGGGTCAGCTTGTGACCACGAAAACATCATGGTTTGTCGTGAGGGGTGGACAGACGAGTTTATGGGTAGAGGCCCGAGCGATAATTCACGACATTACGACAAGAACCGCAGCAGCAGCAACGGCAACAGACCAAAGCATTCTAGCTGTAGCCCCCAGGTTCTCCCGCTGTTTCCCAGGCAAGAGCCAGGGGGGAGGGGTGTTTGCGGACAGAACCGTTGGCGTTGGGAACGTCTCTGCTAGGTCGAGAAAAGGAAAATATCTGCAGCAGCCCTTTTTTCGGCCGGGGGGGCAACATGGACTGAAGGAAACTTTGTTGAGAACGTGCGCGCTTCATGGCCACCCAGGGAATAAGTAAGCGTGTGTGCAAAACAAGAAATCAACCCGTGCAGTCGCCTTTGGGCGTTCTGGTGTTGACGTCAATACCATCACCTCCCCAATGATAGACACGCTAGAGCGCTATCAAGACCGCGGGCTTCCCTGACGGCGTGTGTCCCTGTCAGTGACCATCCGCAACGTTGGCAGATGCTATGGAGCGTGCTTCGTATCGTGTCCCGAGATGTCGGCAGCTTGTGACGGCCTGAGAAAGATTCGTGGTTTCTCTCTGATGTAATCTGAACCTCGCTGCCGTAGTCTAGACGCTAGATGGGCGTGGCCCCCTTTGCACCCTCTGGGACGGCTGAATCCTCCTCGCGATAAAACGTTAGCCAAGCGCCCCCTGAGCCGCTCGCTGCTCCCCCCTACGCATGAGACCGCGCGACATCCCGCCGCCGCGCTTCCTTGTGGCCCCTGGCGGCATGGCGTAATTGTCACGATCAACAGACTCAAACACCCCCGTCTCGCAATTACGAACGAATCACGGCTGTTGTGAGCAACTCGCGGTCGCTCACACGATCAAGCTTGTCTGGTGAGAGAGCTGATAAAGGTCTGCTGGGTGTGCGTTAAATTGGCACGCAGTTACATATGCATTTAGTACGTGATTGGGAAAAAATCCCTACAGGTTCTTCGGCGTCATGACGATATTGCTGGGAACAATGCTTCAGGAATTGTGATTCGGTAGAGAAATGATATTTGCTCTGAACCGGAAACCGGGGCTCGAACATGAACCTACAAGTATTCCGACGGCGCTATTGCGGCGCAACAACAGCGGCACTTTGATTAGATGACCGTACGCATTGCAGTCTCAGTCTTCTAGCGGGTTGTTAGTTAAAGCCAGCTCGTAAAGCAACATTTGGCCACTCTGCGCCTACCCTTGTCGGACAAACCGAGAGTATCCTCGATGCCTTGCTCGGTACTGTCGGAGAGGTGGAGGGAGATAGAGAGACATCGACGGACCGACAGACAGACCAGATGTTAGAAAGGCTTACCCATTAGACTTACCCATAAGCCAGAGACAGACAGAGAGAAGGCGCGCCCAACACCAACCGCGGGGCCCCTTTTCCATTTGCGCGCTGCTGCTGTATTTCACAGCAGTCCACCTCTTCTTTGGACGGAGAGGAGGGCGGTCCTGGGTTCTCGGCAGTTTCTACAAGGAGACGAGAGAGAGAGAGGTCCCATCTGTGCGTGTGCGGTGCTCCGCAATGCATCTGTATGGACGAGCGCCTTTCACCTTCAATGAGCAGAACCTCGCTGCCATACGGAAGGTCTTCTCGCCCGGACCGTTGCCGCTGTTGGCTGGATATAGACTGGAAGCGTTCACCTCTGCTGCTGCTCACGCATCAGAGATTTTGCGGAGTGAACGCGGGAGATCAAGGGCGGCGAGAAGAGCTGCTGTTCTCGTCCCTCTGTGAGCGTGTGGTGTGTTGTCCAACCCTCCCCTACAGCGAGGATATCGAGATTGTCAAGATGCGTTGCGTGCGGCGTAACCTTCACTTTGAATTTTTTTTGAGCCGTGCATGGTCAGTTTGAACCTCACGTTCCTGCCACTGACGCCCGCTGAGCCGACATACGCCTTACGCGTCAGTGTAGCAGTTGGCAAGAGGGTCCAGCTGTTCGTCTGAGAGTTTCTCAAGCACTACAACGGTCGCCGGGGAGAACGACGAAGCGCTGCTACTTCAGTAATTTGAATTGTGTAAAATGCGGCGAGATTTGTGTTCGGGCTGCAACGCGGCCGAGCGCACGCTGCAGGTTGTTGTGCAGCAGTTGGCAGAGAGAATGCGTAGCGAGAGGATCAGGCGGGACTGTGGCATTTTCGGGCCGATCGTGGAATCCCTCCCGGTGCAGATCCCCGGAAGACGGCATGAGGGCGGAGGAGATACTACAGCGCAATTACATGCATTGTCGTTGATCGCTTCACTACCAGAAATAGGATGGCATGCTCTCTGTCCCGCACGCTCCGGTGTCGCCGTGGTATGCTGCTCAGTAATTCTCGATGGTTCATGCCCGGACTTAGGATACATGGGTGCCTCGAGAGACGTGATGTTTATCGCCCCCGCGCACCGCCCACCCTCTCCGGTGCACCTGCGATAACCTGTGCAATCTCCGCAATCTCCGCAATCTCCGCCTTAAGTACGTTCTCTTGTTCACCACAGGTGCAATCGCGATGGGGTAGCGAGCCTTCTTTTCACCGTTCGATCCGCCAAAGTCTCAACCCACAAAGGGCAGGTACGACCAACCGACTACCAAGAGATATGCATATTGTAGACACATATGCAACCAGGACACCAACCCAAAGCACCGCCCATTGTTGGCTCCCAGTCTGCATTGTACGTCTTGTTGCGAGGTGTCTCTGCTTGCCCAATCTCAAGCCTCCTAGCACATAATTTTGTCCCTTCGCGATAAAACCTGCCACCTTTCTTGTTCTGGCAGGGGTGTTTCTTATCGTTGAATGTATGACGAGCTGCTGTACCCTACCTAAAATAAACACCAGAACATGGGGGAGCAGTAGTTTCGTACTGGGCTCTCCCGGGGGTACCTAAGCGTACCATTGCAGTATTTGTGTTGGTCCGGTGTGATGGGTGAAATGTGGCAACTACCGACGCGATTGATTTGCTCGACGCACTCACGGGAATGGATCTCAGGTTTCCTTTCCGGGAGGGCATTTGGAGCCCGGTGAAGATGCGGTCGAGGCGGCGCTGCGTGAGACGCGAGAAGAGATTGGGGACAGCCTAGGAAGGGTCGACGTTCTGGGCACTTGCCAGACGCTACCAGCAAGTAAGTGCGTGTCACTACTCTTCCATCACTCCACGCTACCCTTTCGCCTCCTTTCCCAAGCTCTCGCTGCATGTCTACTGCGGCGCATTCATGTAGCTAATTTTTCTGGAGAGATTGCTTTCCGTCGAACGAATTGGTTGCGACATACGGCGGACGCTGGTGGGGGGACTCCCGGACGTGGGTAGGCGCTTAAGTCCTATTTCGCGTCTAAACGAGCGCACAACTCGTTTGCTGTGCGAACGGATGGCACGCCACACGATGTGCAGCAGCCGACGTTTGTGGCCGAGAGCTTGTTTTGGGTTGTCGACACGGCATCGACGAGGCTCCCATGAACGCCTCCGCCCCTCCTCCCGTTGTCGTGCCTCTTCCACCCCCCGCCCTTGCGGTGCATGTTTGTGATACTGCCGTGGTGGGCGACGCCTTGTACCCTTCTTACGATCTACCTCGTCCGGACCACCCAGCGTCTGTTTGACCCAATGGCCGAATCGAGCACTCAGCTTGTTCCACGAAGAGTTTGAAGGTTGCTTTTGAAACCTACTGATGATCGTGTTGTTCTCCGACCCCTTGGTGTTACTGCCTCTCGTTCATCCCTCCTCCAGTAACGGGTACGCCGGTGACCCCCGTGGTAGCGTTCGTCCGACGAGACGTCGGTCCACTTCTGCCCAAATTGGTGCTGAGTCCGGACGAGGTATGTACATATGCATGGAATAGAGAAAATTGATCGCGGGTAGTGCTGCCGTGAGTAAATGTGCGACAACCGGTCCCGCCGTTTGGGCTGCGGTCGCCATGCACGCTGCGTACACACGTACTTATCATCATACGCCTTTATTATGTGGTGCAGCAGCAGCAGCAGCCGACTGGCTTCATATCTTACCTCACCCCACCAAGCAGATTGCAAACGCCCTGACTGAGCTATCGAAAACGAATCGTGTCGTCGGTGGACCGAGGTGTCATTTTACGGTAGTACCCTTTGCGAAAACCACCTTCAACCGTCATGAATGCTTCGTAGCCCTGCCCAAACCGTATGCTTTCGGGACGTGGCTATCACAGCAGCGGTGTTATCCGTAACCTATTACCTTTTCTCGGACGGACTCTCCAAAACATTTTCACCGCGCCAGCGTTGTTTTCGTGTGCACATTCAACAGCTTTTACGTGCCGACAACAACAAACATCACCTAACGACTCTGGATGGCGATTGAATATTTTCACAGGTGGAGAGTGTGTTCACCCTGTCCCTGAGCGAGCTCTTAGACCCGTCGCTACGCACGATGGATGACCTGTGCGGGCGAGGGCAGCTCCCGGCTTTCACCGCGGGGCCTCAACGCGTGTGGGGGCTGACCGCGGCCATCACCGACGGCGTGCTTCGAAACGGCATCGTCCCGCTGCTGCAGCAGCAGCGTCAAGAAGGAGACAGCAGCAGCAATAGCCGCAGCGGTTGCAACAGCAGCAGCAGCAGCAGAGGCAACAACAACAGTAGCAGCAGCAGTAGCAGTAGCAGTCGCAGTGTTGGTGATGATGATCGCGTTCCGGGGGATAGAGACGGCGTTGATAAGGAGGGCCCTAGACGTTCGTCGCTCTGACTTAGCCAATAAGCTAGGGGCGCGTTTGGACGGGGGGGGGTTGTTGACGATCTTTTTATTTTTTGGGTTGTGGCCCCAAATACGAATGCCGTCGTGGAACACCGGTTGTTCGTGGTCTGGAAACGAAACCGCAAACAACGTGTCGTGTGTGTGCAGCATTTTCCTGCCTGCGGCTGGTCGCTCTGCAATCGCCACTTCAGGGACTCTGACTCGGTAGAGAGAAAGGGTATCCTGGCGGCTCGGAACATTAACCTTCGTATGCATACTTCAGTGTTATTGGGTTTAGTTTTTTTTCTTTTTTTTCTTGGGCACCTCCTTCCTCAGCACGGGATGGTCACGAACCGGGTGGCGGCGAAGAACGAACGATTCCGCTAGAAGATGAACTATTGTAGGGTAGAGGAGAAGAAACGAGGTGAATCGATTCACGAGGCCCGTTGCATGGACGATGGGGGCGGCTGAAAAAGTACGCCGGGGCTTCGCAGATGGTACCCCCTCGTTTTTTTGCGATCCCCCCTCAAACCCCTCCATTGCCCCCCCCGGCAGGCCACAGCAGGCTGCGTGTTCACAGAGCCGTAGGAGCCTCGTCGTGGGCACCAGACAGAATTTAACCTCGGTATACTGTTGTGCTACTCGTGGGAGAGCTGTCGGTGCAAGTTTTGGGCGTTTGTTAGCTTTCTGTGCGTAGAACCGAATCCGCCTCGCGTCAGAGCTCCTACACGCGGAGCAACTTGGTCTAGCAGCCGCACCAAGCCCAGGTTAGTTACCAGCAACGGGTCTTCCGCTCTCAGAGGGTGCGTTGTGTAGCTGAGGTGTTGTACTAATATCGCCGTCGATCTTCATCTGTGGACGCCAAAATCGGCGATTTGGTGAGCAGCTGTATACCGCCATTTTCAACGGTTTTCTTCAGCATGGTCCGTGGTTTCCGCGCCTCGTGCGGCAACACTCTACGCGGCAAAGAAGCGGCAGCAGCAGGGGAACTTCGCCGGTGCTTCGCATGTGACAGCCCGGGTAGCCGCGACGGGTACTCGATAAATTGGCAGCATGTGGGGGGCTCGGAAACATGGGCGGGACTGGGCGAGTGGTCTGCGAGTGTTGGGTCAGCCTGGCGTCATGATCGCGATCTTCAACAGGGAACCCTCTCCAGGTGGGAGAGTGCATCTGTCCCCGGACCGACTGCGTAGTTGGCTTGTACAAGAGGGAGAAGAGAAAGGAGCTTTGCACAAAATGGCGGTTGGACAGCGGTCGCCGATGGGCCAGTATCCTTCGACGGGATCTCAGGTATGATGCCGCAGATACACCACCTCTGTCTACAGCAGTGTACGGTAAGGACGCGAGAGAACGCACGGGGGTGTCAGCATTTTATCATGGCGTGATTTCTCACAACCAGGAGGGTACCACTGCCGACAAGGGTAGTTTTGGGAACATCACGTGGAGGGCTTTCCTGAGAGGTATCGGTTGGTGTTCGCACCCTCATCATCGTGGAGCAATAAAGGTTAGAAAAAAATACTTTCACCCCCGTGCGTTCTCTCGCATCCTTACGGCAGGTCACTCATTTGTATCATATGCATGACTCTGGGCGAATTCTAGACCGCGCGAAGACGCCATTCGTAGAAACAACCCTATTTCTTGTTTGGTTTATGTGTTCTGCCTCCCCACGTGACCGCATATATATGCCTGTCGTTTTTTTTCTGGGATCTCTACCGTCGCCTTGTGCTGTTCTTGATGGCATGGTATTGGGCGGTGCCCGACCCATCTCTCAACACAAGTCTCCCTCGCCCTGCTCCTCATCGAGTGACGGGTGTTCGGTTAGCCTTTGTTGCTGTTTGTCACGTTAGCTCAATGGTAAGTATGAGGAAAACACCGCTGTGCGTCGTTGTCTTTGAGGTCCTCCCCGTGTTGTGAGAAGAGCCTCGACCGCTCCCCCGAAGACACCGGAAGAAGTGTATGTACTGTAGAGCGCCGCTCAATTTTTTTTCTGCTGCCCGCACATTCCCTCTGCCAGGTAGCACCTACCATCTACAGTAGTAAGAATAACAGATGAAGTATCCACCACGTTACATTCGCGATATTCAGGTGCGAGCTCTTCTGGAACACGTGGAGCTGGAAGGCAGGGTACTCGATTGCTGTGGCGCCGCCCAAGACGCAGTCTACACGGTCCTGAGTTCACACGGTCTCCGTGTTGCAACAAACAACGTAAGTGTGTGTCTGAGGCCGGCTTCGGTTCAACCAAGCACTGGATTCGATATGTTAGCGTAAGTTGGTAGGCTGTGCTCAAGCACGCATACTGCAGTGCAGAAAAGGGCCCATCCATGATTCTGGCCACAATTCAACTGGCAAATGTTCATTTTTTTACGTTCAATTATTAACTTGAAATCGTTGGCGGCTCTATTTTTTTTTTACCTCCCTACCCTCAGATTGGTCGCAGACACCCACCTGGACACCGCCGCAGACGCTTTTGTCGAGGCGTACGTCGAGGAAACGGTGCGTCCGGACTGGGTCGTGACGAGCCCACCCTACAAGCACGCCTTCGCCATTTTGAAACAGGCGATGCGGGTCGGGCACATGGGAGTGGCCTTCAAGCTGAGGTTGACTTTTCTGGAGCCCACGAAAACCAGAGGGCGGTGGCTAATGGAAAATGCACCTGACAGGATTGTGAAGCTCCCCCGCGCTACGTACCGCGGAAGAGGATGTAGCTCTACTGAGGCGTGGTTTACATGGGAGACAGGGCGGGGTTGCGAAGAAGGCCGCAAGCCCGCGATTTGCTTTTCCTTGCGTGACGGTGCTCTCTAGAATTGTAGGCGTGCTTGTGTATAAGTTGCATAGCAATAGCCCAATTGTATGCGAGTGTCGGAAGTACTTGCTCTTGAAGCTGAATGGAAAATTTCTGTGTGTTTGCCTCCCATTGCCACTACCAGCGATACCCCTGTCCGTGCTGACGTCTTGGTTGGTGGTCTGTTATGATATCTCGGAGAGACACCCGACGTATGATTTTTGTTTGTGCTGGAGAACAACGGCACAGCAGGCCTCCCCGTTGTTCCTTGTGTACCTGCGTGCACATGATGGCCAGAACTGAGCTGAACGCGACACATGTGCGACTGGCGGTCGAGAAAGTAGAAGTATCTCTTGGTTTTCAACGCAAAATACCATCTACATTGTTCGATGGTGCATTTCCGAAAAATCAAATTACTAGTGCAAGCTTGGGCCACTTTGTATTGTGTCGTCTTGCAGTCGTCGTCGTCGTCAGTGCTGCCAAAATAACCGTACCACCTCCCGCCACATACACCTGTCCAAACCTAGTCCCTCAACCCAACAACAACGAAACACACACACACCACACACCTAAGTGTTGACCTAGGCTGTACGACACACTTTCGAAAAAAAAAAAGCAAACACACGGCGCACATGGTTTGTGTGACGGTGCAGGCGTACACGGCCGAAACAGTATGTGGTAATTAGCAAACTTGTACGAGTAGAACAGCCGAACGCGGCTGCACCCCGTTAAGATAGACCTCCCTGGGTCATGACGTGGACTCCACCGTTCAGCTGTGACAGGTACATTGGAACGAGATTACAGATTGCTTCGGGGAGAGAAGTAAGTCTTCGAGTTAGCTGTTTTCGTGGAAAAAAACGAAACAGATATAACAAAGTTTAAGTTCGCCGGTTCAATGCGGTGGGAATGAAAAAGCGGGACTGAAAAAGCAGCATTTGGCCACTCCACACCGCTCTTGTTGGACTGGTCAACTTGAGAGTATCCTTGATAACTTCCTTGGTACGGCGGTAGGAATACAGAGAGACGACGAGCCCAACACCAACCGCGGGGCCCCTTTTCCATTTGCGCGCTGCTGCTGTATTTCACGGCAGCCCACCTCTTCTTTGGACGGAGAGGAGGGCGGTCCTGGGTTCTCGGCGGTTTCTACAAGGAGACGAGAGAGAGAGAGGTCCCACCTGCGCGTGTGCGGTGCTCCGCAATGCATCTGCGTGGACGAGCGCCTTTCACGTTCGATGAACAAAATCTCGCTGCCATGCGGAAGGTCTTCTCCCCCGGACTGCCGCTGTTGACTGGATATAGACTGCAAGCGTTCACCTCTGCTGCTGCTCACGCATCAGAGATTTTGCGGAGTGAACGCGGGAGCAGGAGATCAAGGGCGCCAAGAAGAGCTGCTGTTCTCGTCCCTCTGTGAGTGTGTGGTGTGTTGTGCAACCCTCCCCTACAGCGGGGATGTCACGATTGTCAAGTTGTCAAGATGCTTTGCATGCGGCGCAACCCTTCACGGTTTGAATTTGTGAGCCGCGCGTAGTCAGTTTGAACCTCGCGTTTCTGCCACATAATGCCCGCTGAGCCGACATGCGCCTAACACGGAAGTGCAACAGTTGGCAAGAGGGTCCTGCTATTCAGCTGAGATTTTCTTGAGCACTACAGCAGTCACCGAGGAGAACGAGTTGCTACTTCAGTAATTTGAATTGGGTAGGATGCTGCGGAGAGATTGTTTTTCAGGAGGCGACGTGCGGAGCGCACGCTGCATGTAGTACTGACATGTAAGTGCATGTACTACAGCAAGTGGAGAGTCATGCGTAGCGAGAGGATCACGCAGGCCTGTGGCATTTTCGGGTCGATCGTGGGATCCCCCCCGGCGCATATCCCCGGAAGATGGCGCGAGGGCGGAAGAGATACTATTGCAACAGCAGTAGCCCTCATTGTGGTCTATTACAGCAGCAGAGCCAACGCCGGTGTTTTTGGCGGGAACGGACGAACATACGTCATCACCAAGTCATTCTGTACTCTGAATATTGCCGGTATGCTGGTCTGGTCCGTACCGGCACTGCTGAGGGCCCCCCACTGTATTGTATTGTCGTTGATCGCTTCACACGTAGGACGGCAAGCTCTCTGTCCCGCACGAACCGACGCCGCCGTGTGGCGTGCTGCTCAGCAATGCTCCATGGTTTATGCCCGGACTTAGGATGCATGGGTGCCTCGAGAGGCGTTATGTTTATCGCCCCCGCGCACCCTCTCCGGTGCACCTGCGATAACCTGTGCAATCTCCGCAATCTCCGCAATCTCCGCCTTGCGTACGTCCTCTTGTTCACCACAGATGCAATCGCGATGGGGTGGCGAGTCTTCTTTTCACCGTTCGATCCAGCAAAGTCTCAAACCACAAGGGGGAGGTATGACCAACCGACTACACCAAGAGTATGCAGGACACCAACCCAAAGCACCGCCCATTGTTGGCTCCCAGTCTGCATTATGTGTCTTGTTGCGAGGTGTCCCTTCTGCTTGCCCAAACTCGAGCCTCCCAGCACAAACATCCTTTTGGCCTCCTTTCGCAATAAAGTCTGCCACCTTTCTTGTTCTGGCCGGGGTATGCTGTACCCTACATAGCATAAACACCAAAGTATTGGGCCCTCCCGGGGGTACCTAAGCGTACCATTGCAGTATTTGTGTTGGTCCGGTGTGATGGGTGAGAGGTGGCAACGACCAACCCAATTAATTTGCTCGACGCACACACGGGAATGGATCCCAGGTTTCCTTTCCGGGAGGGTGTTTGGAGCACGGTGAAGATGCGATTGAGGCGGCGCTCCGGGAGACGCGAGAAGAGATTGGGGACAGCCTAGGAAGCATCGACGTTCTGGGCACTTGTCAGAAGCTACCAGCACGTAAGTGCGTGTCGGGACCCTTCCATCTTTCCTCGCTACCCTTTCGCCTCCTTATCTCCAAGCTCTCTGCTTGTCTACTGCGGTGCATTCATCACGTAGCAGCTGCTTGTATTTTGGAGAGATCGCTGTCCGTTGAACGAATTGGTTGCGACAATACGGCGGACGCTGGTGGGGGGACGGCCGGACGTGGGTAGGCGCTCAAGTCCTATTTCGCGTCTAAACGAGCGCACAACTCGTTCGCTGTGCGGACGGATGGTGCGCCACGCGACGTGCGGCAGTCGACGTTACCTACCCGGCTGTGGCCGAGAGCTTGTTTTGGGTTGTCGACATGGCATCGACGAAGATCTCGTGTATTGCCTCCGTTCCGTCTCCTCCAGTTGTCGTGCCTTTTCCACCCCCCGCCCTTACGGTGCATGTTTGTGATGCTGCCGTGGGGGGCGACTCTTTAGACCGTCTTACGATCTACCTCGTCCGGACTACCCAGCGTCTGTCTGACCCAACGGCCGACTCGAGCAATCAGCTTGTTCCCCGAAGAGTTTTCAGGTTGCGTTTGCTCGAGGAGAAACCTACTGATGATTGTGTCGTTCTCCGATCCCTTGGTGTCACGGCCTCTCGCTCATCCCTCCGCCAGTAATGGGTACGTCGGTGACCCCCGTGGTAGCGTTCGTCCAACGAGACGTCGGTCCCCTTCTGCCCAACTTGGTACCGAGTCCGGACGAGGTATGTACATATGCACGCGAAAAATTACCTTTTGAGGATGGGATAGACAAAATCGGTCGCGGGTAGTGCTGTCGTGAGTACATGTGCGACAACCGGTCCCGCCGATTGCAGAAACCGCACTTCTTCTTGGGGCTGCGGTCGCCATGCACGGTACATACGTGCCCATCATCGTTCGTCTTTTTGTACTGTGCAGCAGCAGCAGCAGCAGCAGCAGCAGCCGGCTGGCTTCGCATCTATACCTCGACCTCACCAAGAAAATTGCACACGCCCTGACCGACCTACCGAACACGAATCGTGTCGTCGGTGGACCGAGGTGTCAATATACCCTATGTAGTACCCTTTGCGAAAAACACCTTCAACCGTCATGGATGCTCCCTAGCCCCGCCCAAACCGCACGCTTTCGCGACGTGGCTAGCACAGCAGCGGTGTAACCCGCAACCTATTACCATTTTCTTGGACGGACTCTCAAAGACATACTCACCGCACCAGCGTTTTTTCCGCGTGCACACTCAACAACACATTTTACGTGCCGACAACAACAAACATCACCTAATGACTGTGGGTGGTGAATGCATGTTTTCGCAGGTGGAGAGTGTGTTTACCGTGTCCCTGAGCGAGCTCCTAGACCCGTCGTTACGCTCGATGGATGACCTGTACGGGCAAGGGCGGTTCCCAGTTTTCACCGCGGGGCCTCAACGCGTGTGGGGGCTGACCGCGGCCATCGCCGACGGCGTTATTCGAAACGGCATCGTCCCGCTGCTGCTGCAGCAGCAGCAGCAACAGCAGCAGCAGCAGCAGCAACAACAACAGTAGCAGCAGCAGCAATAGCAATAGCGGTGTTGGTGATGATGGTCACGTTCCGGGGGATAGAGACGGAGTTGATAAGGAGAGCCCTTAGACGTTCGTCGCTCTGACTTTTAGCCAATAATCTAAAAGGGCACGTTTGGACGCTTTTTTTATTGACGACCTTGACGACCTATGCATTTTTGGGGTTTTGGTGTCACTCTTTGTTTTGTCTGTATCGTTTGTATCGCACCAGCAGCAAGTGTTAGTGCCTCCCGAACGCAACATGTAAAGTGGTTGTGCCCCCAAGCATGAATGCCGCCGTCGTGGAACACCGGTTGTTCGTGGTCTGGAAACGAAACCGCAAACGTGTGTGTGCAGCGTTTTCCTGCCTGCGGCCGGGCGCTCTTCGGGGTGGGGTGGTGTCGCACGTGCTCGGGTTTTCTTGCTTCTTGAAATGAAGTCGACGATACATGCATGCCTCGAGGCCTCGGAGAGGTAACCCTTCGGCGTGCCTCTCAATCAGCGTTACGTTCCGTACACGAACACACACCGAAATCCAGGGGAAAATATACATTGGTCGCGGACGGCAGCGGCATTTAATTGGGCCTGCTTCAACAGGGGTTTTGTGCAGTTTTCTTTTTCTTGCGACACCACAAATCAATTTACTATTCCACGGATGAGTGCCTAAAATAGTTTAGCCTACTTTTAGCAATGAATTCATAGCATTTTGTATACGACCAACCACCTGTATTTTTCGCATTTTGTTGAGAGAGAGGGCGGCTGTGTTTGGTGGGTTGGTCGAACAATCACACGGAGGTGTCGGATAAGAAGCCTGGAGACCGCCGAGAAGAGTCTGGGATATAGATTGGCAATGAATTCATTACGATGTTGATGACCAACCTGTGCTTCTTTTTGGTATTTTGATGACACAGGACCTGCAGTACTTTCGTGGGCAGTGGTCGAAGTAACATGGAGGTGTGGGAGAGAAGCCGGAGACAACAGATGAGAGTACCGGATAGATTGGCAATGGATTCATAACGATGTGGATGACCAACCTGTCATAATTGGCATTTTGATGAAAGAGGGCTTACGTTAGTTTGGTGGGTGTTGTTCGAACTAACGTGGAGGAGGTGTCAGTGTGGGATAGAGGCCGGAGACAACAGGTGAGAGTACGGGATTGTTTCAAAAGCAAGCCGACGATTATCGTCGGCGTGCTAGTCCCAAGCTCGCTTATTTTTTTTTCTTGCACGATGCCGGACACACCTTGTTCGTCAACGAAGCAAAACAACATGAGTTCCACTTGAGAAAAGAACGGAGAGTGACGCGGCAGGGGGGGGGGGGGGGGGCCGTCTGCAACTGAACCAACCCAACTTGGGAAAAAATTAACAATGGAAGCCTTTCTCCCGTACAAAGACCAACTGGGTTCTTAGCATTTTTTGAAAAAGGAAGGGCTTATGTAGGGGGGGGGGGGGCGGTCAACTAACAGCCCCAAAAAGCGAGGGGCTGGGCTTTGACGGGGAAACCCAGCGGGGATGGGGTTTCTGCCCCCCCGACTGGGCTGGGCATGTCAAAACCCACCTCTACTGGTACGGGGGCTGTCAGCGAGGAAAAACTCACCGACAACAGCAGCAACAAAGGTCGGAATATTCCTTGACAAGCGGGTCCCTGCCGAAGCTCCACTGCACGGTGCCGCTTTCCTATCATGGCCTCCTCAGCATTAAGGCGTCTTACGTCCGGCCCGGGCAAAGCCGTATTGACGAGGATACCTCGTACCACATCGTTACTTGGATCGATCCAAATCACAAATACATAATGGCCTGCTCGCAACGCCAACCCAGGAACATATGGTACGAAGGGAGCCCGTGGAGCCTGTGATGGCATATGCGTCTGAACAGACGCGGGAGGTAGAAATATCAAAGATTCAATATATGGTGGTACCACATGTCGTTGCTGCAGCACAAGCAGCGAAGCACCAAGAGCTTATCGTGCCCTCGAGAAAATGAACTTAAAACAACACCCCATGAGAACACACACCAGAAATAAAAAACTTGAGACAAAAACCTTCGACACCTCGATTGAACCAAAAGGGATTTTTGCTGTAACATCGTAGGAAAAACAAAATTTGTTGTTGTACTGCTGTACAAGACCCGGCGAATACTCAGCCCCAACATGAAAAAAGAACCCATACAAGATAAAGAAATGACACGAAACAATTAACAAACAAAAACTCTCTAGGACCTGAGGATATTCAACACAAGATCTGCTACTAACGATGACAACGGGAAACAGAGGTAAAAGTATATAAAAAAACACCGCAAGGAGATCCTCGGCAAATTCCTGTCTCTCTAGCGCTCTCAAGGATTCTTCACATAGAAGACGAATAGTTGTTTTTCGGAAATGATACTTCGTTTTGTATAGAGAACCCTCAAGCCATTCGCATCCGCGTGCCCCCCCTGGACGGGAGAGACAAGAGACTGGAGGGAGACGCCTCACAAGCCAAGGACAATGCACCTGTACACCGACTGCAGTTGTACAACGGAGGTCGGTCTATACCTACAAATAAATATATTGACCAATGAGAAGAAGACTGCACACACGGGCCTGCAACAAACGCTCTCACATCAAAATCTATTTTTGGGCAGCCACGTCAGCCAGCCAGTTAGATTGGCGCCGTGCTTGGCCCCGTGCCTATTTCCGTCGTCGGAGGAGGGCGTCTCGTATTCTGGTATACCCGAGCTCACGCTCAAAGGACAAATATCTGGCCTCCGTGTCGCTGCAATCGAACCAATACAACTCCGTGGAGCGAAGAGCAACATGTCGATGAGAGAGGCCTGGTCGCTTTACATAAATATCGGGACGTCTTCGCCGAGAACCAGGTCGTCATGCTCCCTGTCGCATGTCAACCAATCATGATCGTAGCCCCCCCCCCCCGCGATGGTATTGCAATACTTCCCGCCTATTGGCCCCAGGATCTCTCCTCCCCCTCGTCCCCGCCGCTGTCCAAAGCCTCCTTGAACTCTTCCGGGGAGCTGCCAAACTCGACATCTGTGGCGCTTCCCTCGTGTCCCGCGTTTTCCGCCTTGTCTGCGTTGGCGTCCAACTCTGACTCCTGTGAAGTGAACAGTAACATTCGCGATTTAAAACACCACCCACAGGCGAATCAATTTATGAAAACAAGAAAACAGGCCAAGATGAGCACGAAAAGGCATGAAACGACCCAGGCGAAACACTTCACGAATTGAAAAAGGCCAAGATGCGCTTGCGTGTTGCACGAATAATTGATCAAAGCGGGGACTGCTTGTCGCCGTCCGCTGAAAAAAATAAAGAGCGCAGCTGAGATATCGTGTTGTTTGACGACATACATCCCAAGACAACAACGAACAGAAAGAAACAAAGCGTAAGAGATTGTTGAATGGTCGGGGAACTGTCTGGAAACGTGTCTCGAGCGAAAAGCCCGTATCTTGAATCTTGTTTCGTAAGTGGAAACACTACGGACGTGTCTGATCACCCAGAGATAGGAGATGCAACGAGCGAGGCAGGCCAAAAGAGCGGCATCAGGCTCGAAGCGAAGAGGACAACACCAGCCCCGGTAACGTCAGTAAGTAAGCTTTGCGGAACCAACCACGGCAGCATCCATCTGCAAAAGACGTGGTGGATCCCCAACTCGACACAAAAAAAAAACCCATTGCCCTACAGATAATGAAACAATGAGGTGGCGGAACCGCGAGCTACAAACACGGTGCGGAAGATGCCGATGGTGAAACAGACGTTTCCAGAGCACAAACTTGCGGCACGTTGGCACGGCACTTATTTGACGACATGGACGACAACATGAACGATAACAACACTAACACCTACACAAACAACAACCTACAACAGCAGCTACCGACGCACCACTAGCGCTTGCTTGAGAGCTCTCCTGGCGTAGATCGTAACCGCCACGATCGCCAGGACGGCGGCAACGGCGCCGCCGATCAGAGTCACCATCCTGATTATGCACTCCGTTCTGTCCGCCTCCCCAGAGTTCATCGCCTCCTGCGGTATCCGAGAACGTGCGTGTAAGGGTTATTGTTACAGGATCAAATGGTGGTGGAAACGTTCAGCTTTCGAACGTCTCAGCATCCAATACTGACGCTGAAGGCAGCGTTCAAGACGGAACTCTCGCGCTCTTCAGGATACAAAAGTGGGAACAGGCGCCTTAGGGCACAGGCTGCACTGTAGTGAAAACCATGCCTTGAGTACAACAAATCGGACGTGAGGCAACGAGCCTACTGCGCAGCACGCGTGTCAGCACGGCCAGTGCTACCGACAGCTCAAGCCACGCACGTAAGACAAAAAATCCACAACTACACGCCTACACTGCAATTGACGAACGGCGGGGGCTAGAGGGGAGGGCTTGAGCCTAGCGCACCCGGGTTCACCGAGCTGCTCGACCTAGCTGCTCTTCTTCCGAATTTCGCACAGAGGATACGCATGAACCCAGTGCCGAGCGCCGCCAAGAACACGGTTCAAAGTAAAAATCATTCATCCTCAGCAGCTGCTCTGTGTCGACGCAGAGGGAGCTGTGCATCCACGCAGAGGGAAACTGTAACTGTTCTCGTCTCCCAATCCGTAAGTACAACTCAACCGCGTGCTGCTGCTACATACAGCCGACGGGGTCAGCTGCAAACGGTCCCCTCCGCTCCGATGGCCCTACCCCGTACCACCGCATCAGCGGTGGGCCGCAGCAACGCGCCGCAGCAGTCCATGCAATCGTTTGTCGGTCAACATACATACATACATACATACCGTGCAATCGGCTGTCGAGCACGCACAACATACAGCAGTACCTCCTCGTTCATCGTGCCCGCCGTGCTCGCCCCGATGTATACAAATGCCAGGGTCCCCGGGACGATGCCCACCGTGCCCAGCAGGTAGTCCCGCAGCGAGACCTTCGTCAGGCCCGCGATGAAGTTGAAGCCGGAGAAGGGCACCAGGGGCGAGAGCCGCAGCAGGATCATGACCTTAACCCCGTTCCGCTCGATCGCGGTGTTCACCGCGCTCAAGATCCGGTAGCGCTTGGCGCAGCTCTGCGCCTGCTCGTGCAGCACATACCTGAAACAAGATTGGTAGAGATAACAACATTAGAGACGGCCAAGCACGTGGGCAGGAAGGTCAGCAGTACGTCCGGATGGACGGTGCAGGTGGGTCGGAGAAAAACGCGGGTTGCTGCTGTTGCAAGCAAACCCATCCGGCCGAAAATGCGACTATTTCCAACACATCCATTCGTCTGTGGTGTGGTTCATCTCGGACGGGTAAATAGTTTTTGCAGCGATTGTACGTACGCTTTCGGAAAATCTTGGATCGGCTCGCAAAATCGGCGAAAAGAGACGAGAGGGTGCAACTCCCGGCTATCCTCTCGTGAGGAAATGTTGGTGAATCGCTCTGTTTGAGGCAGAGTCGTACGCACTGCGATCGGAGAAACCGAAACTCCTATGACACTACTTCGAAGTAGTACTCACCGACCGAGGTAAAAGGCGATGACACACGCCACCACCGCTCCCAACAACACAGCCACGGAGCCCCACAGGACCCCGAAACCAAACCCGAGAGCCCTTCCAAAGGCCACCCCCGCTCCGATCGTCAGCAGCAGCCCGGGCACGAAAAGCAGGGTCGACAAGCAGAAGAGCAGGGCGAAAACCACGACCCCTGCGAGAGCAGCAGCGACGCACAAGAGAGGAGCGATTTGCTTAGCGTTATGCTCAAAAGTTTCCTGTTGACTGAAAACCGAGGTACAGTGACTAACACTCGTAGTGATTATACACTCGGAAAACGGTTGAGCTTCCTCACGAGCAAGCTCTTGACCATTTTCCCCGAGAAAGAGACAGCAGGGTCGGACTGTTCGACTGCATGTTCTTACAAAGACGTAAATGATACATACTCCACCAGCGGCGGATAAGTAATCCATAGCATTACAGGACCAACCTGTGTTTCTACGAAGCCCCACGCAGCGGGCCGCTATATCTCCCCGGTTATGGATGCATATCTCTCTATCGTGTATCGTTGAATGAGTGCATATCTCTGGCTACATGCGTACCACCAGTAGTTTGTGTCTTAAAATAATAAAACGTACCATTTTTAGTACTTAATGGACAGAGGGTCAGGGGTTCGAATTCCGGCGTGAGTGGCCCGTCTTGCAAACTGCGTTTTTCTCGCGCTTCCGCGCTTCCGTTTCTGGCCTGGGTGGAAAGCGCTTGTTCGTGTGTACACAGAGGGGAGAGAGTGCTGCACTCTTTTGGTATAAAAACTTGGGAAAATTTTCAAGGAAAAGTACCGCAGGAGGGGTGGGTACGGGGTACAGTAGGGGGGCTCAGAGAGAGGACCCCTTTCGTGTGCCCACGGGTTGATGTAAACGGCACAAACGTGCTTGTTGCCTTGTGAGCGCTGATAAAGAAGTACACCAAATACACATCGACCGGCAGCAGTTATTTAGTTTAAGCCAATGAATTCACATGCAAGCGTAGCGGAGTGAGTTTCCACGGCTTTCCGAGCAGCGCTACAACGATTTCTCCCTTTCAGTACTTTCTTAAGAAGTGCATGCCATATTATTTGTAAACATGAAAAGTAATCCATGAATCTCACTCAAACAAAGACAACCGTTCGAGATACCACAGCAGTCGAAAGGCATAGGCATGTGTTGAAGTCTTTTCAGTGAGTGGAGGGAAACTCGATGGAAACTGGGCTTATTTCTTATTTTGAGCTTGCTTAAGCCTGTGCACTGAATTGCAACTCATCTGTGAATCAGTCATGCCAGCTGCTGCTATGAATACAAGATATTTATATCAGTACTCTGTACTGCTGTACATTGGAGTATACTGCTTGTAGTATTGTATGCAAAAAGGTTGTGTTTAGTACAGTACAAACTGGACGTACTCGAGTATCTTACTCGAGTATTTTACTATACTCTGCCAATAGTAGGTTTAGTAACAGGTACAGCTTTCGAGACTGTACTAAACCAATAGTACGCTTTAGTACAGCCCTCGATACTGTACTATACTCCGCGTTTAGTACCGGGTTTGGATCGATACTATACTCGGCTTAGTACAGTACTGTTGGATGTACTGTACTATACTTTTGGGTTTAGTACAGCTCTCGATACTGTACTACCCCAATAGTACGCTTGAGTACACCTCTCCGTATTGTACTATACTGCAGGTTTAGTACAACTCCCAGTACTATACTAAAACCAACAGTACGTTTAGTAGTACTATCAGTACTGTACTCTACTCGTTCGGATAGTAATCCGAGTATCTACCCGGATCTGCACGGATTCCGGCCAAAGAGCGTGTTGATGACGTCATTCTTGTGCAGAATGCGGCGTGTTTTTGTTCTGTGTGTGTGTGCGTCCACACAGAGCACGCAGCTGCAACAGCACTCTCGGTCCTCTACTCAGGGTACTCGAGCATTAGTCAGTACATATAGTATACGTGTTGGTACTTCGCTTTTACTTTTTGGTTTTGTTGCCCTCGGTGCTGCGTGAAGTAACGGCTGAGGCGGAATTATTATGGCCGCCACCAGACCTCGAAAGGGAAGGACGGGGCGAGGAACACCGGCGGATTGTCTTTCTATTCGTACTGCTTTCGGTCTATTTGCTTCACTTGAACGCTTCTCTAATGTGTGCGTCCTGGTACGCAAAAATATGGGTCTCCACACTGCTGTACTGTCCCCAAAGTCAATGGTAATGGTACGCTTTAGCACAGCTCTCGATACTGTACTATCCCAATAATACGCTTTAGTACAGCCCTCGATACTGTACTATCCCAATAGTACGCTTCAGTACAGCTCTCGATACTGTACTATCCCAATAGTACACTTTAGTACAGCCCTCGACACTGCTGTACTATAACCAATAGTAGGCTTTGTACAGCTCTGCGTACTGTGCTAAAATCAACAGGTTTAGTACAGCTCTTCGTACTGTACTATACTCCGCGTTTAGTACCGGGTTTGGATCGATACTATACTCGGCTTAGTACAACAGTAGTACTGTTGGATGTACTGTACTATACTGGGTTTAGTACAGCTCTCGATATTGTACTAAACCAGTAGTACGCTTGAGTACACCTCTCCGTATTGTACTATACTGCACGTTTAGTACAACTCGTGATGCTATACTACAGAGAGTACGTTTAGTACTAAATTCAATACTGTACTAAACGTACTGTACTGCTGTACTAAACACAACCTTGTACGTAATGTTTTCTCCTCTTTGCGACTCTTACAAAACAAGGAGTAAAGGCTTTTTGCCCCCTTTGAGTCAAGGACCTTGATGACGCAAAATATCTGCACTCGAGGCGAACGACAAATGTTGGACATGTAGCGTGCTATCCTCTCCTCTGCTGCGCATTCTCAACGTTCGTAACGCTAGCCTCGTGCCCGCTTCACCGAACGCTGCTAGCTGCTATGTAACACATGTACACGTGGATTACGAAACTCGCCGCTTTCACGCTGCTGTTTAAATTTGAAGAGAAGATGCTCGCCAGTCTGTGGGATGTGCGGGAGGACTGCTGTGATTACCCAGAACCCCGTGCCTTACACAATACAGAGAGCGCACTCACCGGCCTTGGGGTTGTCCTCTATCCAGTCGAACGACGTTTCAAGCCACGTCCTGACGTTGTCGTGGCAGGCAATATCTACAATCGCGCTGACTACCAGCGCAACCACCACGAACATCATTATCCTCTTGATGCGTTGGTTGACTCGCTCATTGTCCTTCTCAACCGCTTGGCCGACTTCCTCGTCCATCGCCGCCCTCTCAGCGGTGGCATACTCGCGGTGTTGGCGCGGCAACGGCCCTTCCGTCACCACCGGTGTGGTTCTTGGGTGCGTTTTCCCCCCCCAGAACGCACGGCGGCCTCGCTCTGGAAGCCCTTCCATGTTGCTGGAGTCTTCTTCTGCTCTCTACAGAGGGGAAGGAAAGCAGCAGGCCGGGCTAACACGGGCAAAAAAGACGACCAATCCGCCGGTCTTTTACGTGTCGCCAGAGAAGCTAAACACACGGGCACCCGTACGGCACGATCCCGTCACGACGCCGGGCTAGCAGCTTCGTTTCGTGGTCCCAGCTGTTCGGTGTGTGTCTTCTGGTAGAAGCATGGATAGATTGTGGGGCGTCAAATGATCATCCAGGACCAGGACGTCGGCATCACAGATCACCCTGTTTTTTTTTTCTTACAATATTTCAATATTTATTGGCACCTGGGGACGAATTAGACGTGTCCCCCCCCATGCACTGTTGATCTCCTCCGCTTCCCCGGCCTCTACGTATACTGGGAGATGTTGAATTTCGCATTCGTTCCGCGTGGCGGGACGTTGGTTGAATGTTGGCCGGCGCTCTCCACGCACCATCGCACGCCCGCTGCCGTTTTGTTCCTGGTGGTCAACTACCACACCTGGACATTGACGTTGGGTGTAAGCATCTTCTCCTTCTTCTGGAAAAATACCTTGCGGTCGCCTTGAAAAAAGCAGCAGCAGTTGTTAGAGATACAATCCTCTCCTAGCAGGCGTACCCCAGTACCTGGCCAGCTCGTTGAAAGAGCAACAGCTACAACACAAGCACACAGCAGCAGTCCCACGCACGTTCCCTCTTAGGAGCACCCACATGACGACGGTGGGTAAGTTTCGCGAGAGCGCCAGATCACCGGGATCGCCCAACGCGGAACGAGGGGGGTATTGGAGGGCAGAGCCGCTCGGACAGGAACACAGCTTTGCCTTGAACGCAGCTCCGCGATCGCGCTTCGAGCCGGATCACCTGTCGTCTTCTCCGGAGCAGGCGAATTGGGTACATGCCCATCATCTGTCAGCAGCTCCCAAGAAGGTGTTTGCGCGGCTGTGTAAGAAAAACCCTTACATTGGCTTCTTCCACTATGCGCCCAGGTGAGCCGGAGTGGGGACTGTTGTAAGAGGGCTTGTTCTTCGCATGTACTGCAACATAGGGTGTTGGGAACACGCATGGGATGTTTCGGAGGGTGGCGTTAAGACCGGCGAACATGTTGTGTTGCTGGCAACAAACAGGGCTTGCGTTTTCGGCGTGACCCGTAAGCTATGGTGGTGCTTCGATCGCAAGCGGAGGGACCATGGCTGCGTCGTTCATGTACGTGCGGCACCGCGAATTATTCTCGGCTGCACTAAATACCAAAATGTACACGCGCTGAAACTGCAAACATGAACGAACATGTGCGTTTTCGTAGAAGAGGAACCCCTCTTTCTTGTCCACTACAACAGTACTGCTGTTCCCGAATCTCGTTGACGCTCGTATTCTTCCATCGTGACTACAGCAGTACAATGGTTGGATGCATCACACCTCGATTTAAACCGGCGCATTGAAGTTGATTTGCCCGCCGAAGTGAGTCTGTCTCGCGGTACCTACTTCGACACTTTACGATTGGCCAGTGAAGTTGCAAAGCACCAACGGGGGAACCGGCGACAGCGGGGGGAGTCGTGCAGATCTCCTCTTTCAGCGACCCTGATTTGTAGTAGAAGTATGATTTTCCAGAATCTAAAATCTGGACAAATCAACCACCTTTGATATGTATTGTCTTTCCTAATAGTTAGTAGGTAGAAACGCATGCCTTGTGCTTCAAGTCTACCTGTGCTACAGATTTGCTGCCCGCCACGATCGAAACGAACCCGTTTTTCATATTCTTTGTAGCTCAACGGATTCAATGCGTACGGCTTCCGATCGAAAATGGCGGTAAGCAAATGTATAGCTGTCGCAAGGGCTCGTATCCTAGGGATGGTACAGATTGGTAGGGAAGTTAGGGTTCGGAAAACCTCGAAATCAGGCGTTTCATGTTTCCTGGTTCGCGAAGAGGAGATTTGCACAACTCCCCCGGCCCTGTAGATTCAGCCCGGGCGGCCGCAGGTTTACATACATGTACAAGTAGATAGCGACTGACTGACGCGGATGGCACCTTGAGGTTACGTTGGCCTCCGGCACAGGTGCTTGTGTCGTAGTCCTATCTGTTCTGGACGGCAGGCCACAGCTGGAGCACGCCATGTCTAGCTCAAAATTCAATGCCCAAACAAAATGCATCACGGGAGTGTTATGCCGTTCCCCTGTCAAACCAGGGCGTCGCCAAGTCCGGCCAAATAGCCTTGCTTGCCGGCTTTGTGCGGGTGCCATGACGATGGCGTTGACGCGCGCTCTCGTCCAAACGGCACCAGTCGGGCATCCTTCTCTCTAACCCGCACACCGAATTGGAACTTCTTGCAGACGATTATCCTCTTGCTGCATGTGTACGCATACACCTCTTGCCGCCCTTTGCCGTTTGTGAAGCGTCATCGACGCTTTACCCTTGTTGTCTGGTCCTGATTCCGTGTCTTCATACTCCTCTTGCAATGTTTGCTTTCTGTGGGCTCCTTTGGTCGCCCTTGGGCAGCGCCGGCAATCGCTCACGAAGCACCTATTTCGAGCAGGACATCGTGTCCATGGAGGTCATCCACGGCCAGCACGCCGTCCGCAGCAACCCTATGATCGGGAACTTACACTACGGCGAGTAGGACGTTTCATATGACGCAGCCGTGCATCATGCCTTCGCGAGGCATGTGCCTACTTGTGGGTAGACTGACGTTTTTCGTGGTGAAGAGTGGAAGTTTTGGTGCCGTTCACTCGAGCTGACTTGATTCGAGCAGATGGCCCGTGGGGGCTCACTACGTAGACTTTCGTTGACCTAGAGAAACCGGTGAAGACTCCCTTGTATCAAGGGAAGACTGCTGTAGAGACGGGCGTGTTTTCGGGATGTTTGTTGAGATTCGAGAACGCCCGTACGCCTCGGGGGCACGCGTGGATCGTACCCTACCTTGCGGTGATCGAGGGCACCTCGCTTCTTGGTATGTGTATGTTCAATTATCGGTCATCCCAGAGCCGTGGGCGACCCATCCGTAGTGAGTCTCCTCCTTATCTTCGTGTTGCACCCGTCTGCACCTCGCTCATGCTCCGTACCCCCGCTCTTTGGCATATGCAACACCTCTCCATCCTGCCTGCCTGCACACACACACAACGAAAAAGTGACAATGGTATGCGAAGTTTTGAAACCGATAGATAACAAGCGCGCACGTGTTTCCTTATTTTTGTTTGGTTCTCGCCTGTGTTTGTACCGCCACCGTCGCCTTTTTTTTTCTCAGGACACGACCTCTACGGGGAGAGGTTCGAGGACTTTCAGCGCATCCTCGCGCAGCTCAAGGCCAAAGACGTGGAGAGACAAGTGCAGGCTGTCTTGGACCGACACCCTCGCCCTTTCGGAGGAGGTGAAGGGTTAGAGTTGCGGTTAGGGATTGGAGGTGAAAGGGTTAGGGTTGGGGATGGGGCTAAACAGATCCCCGTGTGCTCTTGCGGCTTGCCGGTGTAGCGATCGACCTTTTCCCCCACCCGTTCTGGCCCCCTTGTTTTGTAGACGGGGTGTGTGTGCGTGTGGTGGTGGTACTGGTACGAACCGTAGGACGTAATCGTCTAGGTTGCAAGTCTTGACAGTCACGGAAGGGGTTCGTGTACCATGATGGCGTACGCAGTTTTGCGAGACGTGCTGCCTGGACGGCAGTTCATGGCGGTCCCCCCCCCCCCCCCCCCCC